TGTACTGAAAGACGTTGCTTGATTTACTAATGTCATATTTTAATTCCTTTGAATCTCAATCGAGCATTTTGTGATCGTGATTGGAACGAAATATCGGATATGTTGGAATAAATACATAAATTTAATTTATGGAAGGAATAGTATTTTGCCTGGAGAAGACTATTGCCTCAAAAGTCCCATATTATTATTATTAATTTATATTCAACCCATATTATTATTATTAATTTATATAGTAATTATTATTATTATTATTATTAATTAATATTAAACAGTCTGACATAACAGTAATACTATAAAATAATATAATACTAAAAAAGAACAGCTCAGATCGTAGCATTAAATACATCACTTAGCTTATTGTCATTTTTCATTTCCCAGTAGACGCGCCACTTTGTACCCAAGTTAATGTAATCACGTTACATTACGCTTCACATTCGCCGGCACACCGTCTTCCCAGTTTCACGAGTTCAACGAAGCTTATTCTTGCCCAAGCATGTTGCCTTTCGTTTTAGCGCGAACACATGCAACGGAAGCCAGAAGTTTCCCGTTCTCCGTGATCCTTTAAAGTGGAGCTCTTTAAGTTCTCTTTGAGGCCAGAGAACAGCTTAAACTTATAGGAGCTGGTCCCCGTCGATATTAATGACTTCAGCGGTTAACCTAGAATTCTTTGACGGGCGAGCACATAAATTGGTTGGGAGGGTGAGACGTGGAAAAACATCGGGCTCCGCGATGAAATTTCGGGCTCCGCGGTGGAACTCCGAAACTCTACGATAGACTTTCTAACTGGCGCGATGGTATTTTTGAACGAAGCAATAAAGTTTCTAGACACCGTAATGAAATTTCGGGGCGTCACGGAATCCCGTCATTTTAGGCCAACGAAGTCTCGTTCGAAAAGTTCTTTAATACTTCTCGGGTATAATGCAAAGTGAACTAGAAGATGACAGTGCACGTATACCTTCCAGGAAATATTAAATTAATTTAACTCTTTGAAGTTAGGTGGCTTAAAAAGTATCCCCCTTTTTCCTTAGCTATACTATTTTATTTAAAGTTTTCCATTCATGTGGCGGTACTATGAACTAATGAGATATTTACATTATATTTATATACCTTTGCATTTTCATCGGAAATTCAAAGTGATAAATAAGAAAGGTTGAGCTTTACAAATGGAGAAGTCATAGATACACTAAGGACGTTATTTCTGACTCCCTGTCACGAAGCTGCGCAGTATAATAATGGAGCAAACGGAGGCTACTCAACAGTCTGATTTATACTCGTCTCTTACTCTTCTTTTCGTTTTGCATCCTTTGTTCCTTATTCGAACACCGGCACCGTATTGTCTTGTAAACTGAAGAAGAAATATTAACGCTCGATTGATACCTGTTTCTAGCCTACCTTTTAATGATGTAATAAAGTCGAAAATGAAAAGATGGACTGAGCCAACATTGTGACGAAAATATCGTACAATTTAAATCCTGGATATAAAAATATAGTAGTACCATTCTTGTCACAATCTCTCGCCCTGTCGAGTTTCATTCGTAGGTTTAGCATTTACATAGAATGCATAGAAGAGGACTTTGCTACGTTGATAGCCGCGAATAATCCTCGTCGCGTCTTGTACCCATTCGCCTCATTTAGTCCTGGCAAATAAAATATGAGCGCCGCCGGAGTGATGAGATGGATATACATTGCCAGTCAAATGTTTGGAACCTCTAGGCGAGTTAAGGAACGTAAAAATGTCCTTACCAAGAACACAAATATTATAGAATAGAATAAATACGATTTTTTACACATTTTAAATAAAAGTACGTGTGAGCACAATTAAGTATAAAAAATGATGTTTAACTGTTCACTATGAGTACAGTGACACAAGTACTTTTTAGATAAAATATTTTTATATATTTTTGAATTTATGCATATCCTTGTACATATTTCCATATTTCCAGTTGTGACAAGTGGATAAATTTTCAAAGTCTGTTACGAACAAGTCAGAAAAAATTCCAAGACCCCTTTGGAAAACCCTTCGTTTGTAGATAGTGAAGATGACTCAAATTCAGGACTCGAAGGGTTTAAAATAAATTAACATTGCAACGAAATCTGAAAGATGATGTTGTTTCAACAGAAAAAAAATCTAAAGTCACGATTAGAAAATTTTTTATATTAAACAATTACAATCTGAAGGAATCCAAATGAGTATCATAACTTCAATGAAAGTAAATTTTAGTAAAAATTAGTCGTCGATGTGAAACTTTTGACCAGTAGTGTACATTCGCAGTGCGCTTACATTAAGCACGGTTTTACATGTCGGATCTTCGTGGAGGGCATCTATGAACCCTGGAAAACGTAGACTAACGGTAAATAACTTTCGTCGTTGAATATGCAGCCAAATATTACGTACCTCTGCAAACACATAACAGCTTCCCACGATAACGATTTCCTTTCGACGTTCACCGTGAAACGCAACAATAAACGACAGTTCTGCCAATAAAAGTAGCCTCTTCTAGGTTTAAGGACTTGCTCGATAGAAGCATTTCTATCAAAATCGTGTCGTATTGCAACGGTAGTGTTTAATAAAATGTTCGATAAATTATTGTTATCGAAACAAAGGAAATAAATTTCCTATATCCAAACTATATATTTTGGCGAGTGTAGTTTATGCCTCCCACTAAATTCTTCGATGAAATTTTAGATTTCATTTGACACAGGGGAGATTGGGTTTCAAATTCATCGAAATTTACCTCATGGAAATAATTCAAGTGGACGCTTAGGGAACGATAAAACGGTTTCTCAGAAGTCAACTCGATCACCCAATGGTAACGATCTGAACAAAAGTTACAGATTTTAAATATTGACAGTGATATTCATAATTCCTAACTCAAATGGCTATAAACTTCTTCCCTGACCAATTACACCCAATCCAAACTAGTATGGCTATTGCAATGAATGGGTTAAATAGTAAGTGTCACAATTTAAATCATCTACGTTGTATATCGAATATGGATGCATCAGATCTACTCAAAGTAAAGAAACCCTGACCAAAAGAAAAAATCCGTAACGCACAATACCCCCGAAACGGCCGCAAGTATCGCTCACTTCGGCAGCCTTTTCTAAACGAGCAAATTGTCTGTCGCTGCGCGCCTCGTGACGCAATTAACGTTGAGAACATTCCTTCGACTAATTAGCCTGAACTTACCCGGCTTGGTAATCACGTACCAAGGGAATCAAACAACAGATTTGCGGCTCGAAATGAACTTCGTTCGCCAGGCTTATTATTGTAAGCCGCGTTATTACTGTAAACCTAGTAATGACTACCGACCCTGAAGGGATCAGCAGAATTTCGGTACGGAGTTTCATCGGAGTTGAATATTTGCCTGGAAGCGAGAGCAACTCGTGCCAGAGAGTTGTCGGTCTAATCTTTTACGCGTGTGTACGCACGCGTCTGCCGGCGCCTGTGTGAAGCGTGTTCTTGACTGTGAAACGGGTATTATGAACCTGAATTTTATGAAGGCATTAAAGAACATCTCGTGGCACTTTTCGTCGTGGTGGTATTCCATTAGAGCCTGATGGACAGATTTCCATGAATACACTCCGCGATTCCAGCCCACTGTTACCGTCTCGCTTCCTTTCATGCGAAAGGGTAACACCGAAGATAGCATGGTTTACACGTTTCGATAAGCTTCATTCCAGGATTGCTTAACGAGACGTTACGGTATTACGCGTTACTCACTTGCGATTTCACGAACCGTAAGTAACTTTTCATTTCATCTACTGGAAGATTATTTATAGACTTGTTAACTCCACAGTCACCTGTCTAGCACCTGATAATCCTGTTGTGGATTATATATAGTGATTATATATATTACGGTGCTTAATTGTTCGAAATAGCTAAGGCTTTTGCTATTCCTAATAACAATGTACGAGAGTTATTATCAGCCTAGATTAATAATGTAGTAAATTCACTTCTACGGTGCAGATTCTTTTTAAGCAGATCGATAGTTAAAGCGTTAGTAATAGTCTAAAGCGATATAATGTCAAAACATGAAAATAGTAATTTAATTAATTAATTCATAATTTATTTTTATTTATTTTAATCATAATTAATTCATAAACAATAATCGTCGAGTGCACAGTATGTACAGATTTAAACTTCCTGTTTCCGATAGTTGGATTCCAACCTACGTTTATCATAAGCAACTATTCCACTATTTCACCCGCAAACACATGCTTCGTTGCTGAAGCTGCTTAATCAGAACAAACAAACGAGCACATGATATGCAGATTCGCCGGAGAGTTCAGCGGGAATAAAAATTCATTTTGCACAATTCCGTTCGACAGTTTTATGAAAATTCTAACAACCTTTAAGCATGCCTTTCGATATGCCACTTTCGCTGTCAGTGAAGAAATAACGGGTGTTGCGTAACTTTAGTCGTTTGCTTTGATTTGAATATAAAACTCGCGATTCATCATGCATGCAAAACCGGAAAATAAACAGACTTAAAATAGGGCCTGGGACATGTCAGGTCATTATGCTGCTATCTTATTGATTCTTATTATGCGACGAGGCGTACCAGAATAATCTACCTTTCTCTGTACCGTATCATCGCCACGAGAGGCAGTCATAGACTATTCTTCCGATTAAATATAATTTCAAGCGCTCCAATTTATTTCAACCCCTCAAGTTTTTCAAGCGAATCCAATTCTTCCATAAATTCTAACTTCTAATCAAGTAGCTTTCTTCAAGTAACGAATAACCCTATAAAGTGGCTGATGTGACGATACAAAATTGCTATAAAAATAAAAGTTACTTCTCAGTTTTGTTACCGATATTATAATTTGTCTCCTCCCCTAAAAATCTCAGTATTCGAAGTCGTGTCATTTTAGTGACAAGCAACGAGTTTCAAATCGACAAATATTTCCATCACGCGATACTTATTTTCCTTCCGAAACGGTTATCTTCGAGGGGCGAAATTTTATTGGAAAACTAAATTTTATTCGGTACTCACTCTGAGAGTCTCCAATTGGGTGCGCACGTACTCAGCACGGCTGGCAATGTCGGGAATCGCCACGGGAAACGAACCCATGTACTGCAAAAATAAAAATTTCGTTTAGTTCAATATTTATGCATACTTTTCGAAGTTATTATGATGTTTGTAATTGTGCAAACGATATTTACACATTAGACATGTAGCTGAATTCAATGTGTTGTTGCCATTTACAGAATTTGAGTCGCTGTTATCAAGATGATAAAATATTAGAAAAATATTATTAATACTATTTTTTAATCAGTATCATGAAGTTCAAATGCCGAAAACTGTATCCTTGAATTATCTAATTATTTAGCATTTTGACTGATAGGTGTGAGTGGTTAAATTGAAGGCTGCTTTCGAACCTAACTCGATATAATGTTTTAACAACCCATACGTTAAGTACCAAAACTTTCAAGATGAATCGCTGATTAATTTATTACGTGGATCAGATATTGACACTCTCAAGAATGTCCGTCCCCAAATTGTATCAAATATTTCTCCACCTTTAATAAAGGGCTGAAGGGGCTGACGAAACGTGTGGCCGGCATACCAGCGAAGTTCCGAAGAGTTTCGGAGGCTTCCCTCTTCCTCGGTTAAACACGACGCCTCATGATTATATGGCCGATAAAAATAGCGACCCCTCTCGGAACGACAATAAATAAAAGCATCCAGGGCGGGAAGGGGATAAAATCCAGAGCACGATAAATTACGGTATCTAATGCAATTATGTGTCTGTGGTCTGTTCTTGATAATTCGAACGCCACTTCTGTCGTACACAGTTATGTAACACATAACTGTAAATATTTTGCAAACACGTAAAACATCTAAAAAAACATGCAAATATTTTACAAATAAAATATTAATATCATTATAACAATTTATGAAATATTTATCTGCGCACGCGTCGTATGTTCCCTTTCATAGTAGCATTCGACGTAAATGCATAAAATGCCCCGTCTAATTATTCCAGGTAATACATTATTCATTTCACGGAATTGCACATAGTTTTTGTTGATATTAGTCGTTGCCCGAGTGCTTTATACGCCCAGTGTACATATAATTTGTGCTTCAATCCCTGTTTTCATGTCTGAAAATCTTTTCTCCAGGCGTCATTTCGATTCAGATACTCGTGCCACAAAATAATCCCCGCTTTAATCCCCTCCCCCCCACCCGTATGATTCTCATTGTTGTTTCATCGAAATTCTCTCTGGGAGGATCTCCTCGCGGAATCACAGGGATTTTCCAGAAATATTATACCTCTCTACGCGCAGCGGAAACAATCTCGCAAAATTCCCTGTAATATCGAAAGTTCGAAACGTATACAGCGCCAGACCGGAAGCATATTCTTTATTATTTTATTCATCCAGCATTGGGATTAGTTACTCGACAGAAAGTGTAGTGAAATTACACGTGAGAACCTTGATTTATTTAAATTGGCAGCTTTTTAATGGAAGAGCAATACAAATTATTCAAATAGTCAATTATGAAAAATAGTATTGATTATAGTTGATCAACTTACATATTACACCACACAAAATTAACAGCATTTTGAAATTAAAGCAGTATAAGTAGTACCAATAGACATTATGAGTTAATCGAGTTGAATTTTGATTTATTCGAATGAAAGTAATTTATTTTATATTTTATTTTATACAATTTATTATTCAGTTTTTTTTTGCTCTTCCCCAGAAATTTCGTCAATTTGATTTAGTTTAGATTTATTTTGGAAATTCTAAGCTTACACGTATGTAACCTGAGAAGTCAAAATATTTATAAATTAATAGCAACCATTAATTTTCCATTAATACACGTTTAACGATAGTCGTAATCGTTTTGGTACATCTTTACACAAGCTGGTATGCTAAGGCCACGAAGACTGTTGCTCTTAGTCAACCGTTTTATTAACTATGGTACTCTTAATAGGGGATTCGTTTACAACTACACTCCATGTTCTTGACTCATGCAAGCATGGGTTATTCAACCAATTAGCTTTAACAGATTTCCAAGAATCCTAAAAAAAATATACGCTAATGTGAAAGCCAGAGACTTTCCCTCTTGTTCAATATCGACCGCTACTGCACATCTCACATACGAGGTCCAGCATACCAGCATACCCACCACTACTATGTAAAACACGTAGATAGAAATCTATTAATGTTAACCTTACGATCACGTCCAACTCTCTTGAATGGAACATGTCTAGACATCATTGAAAGCACATATAAGTAGTTCCCACAATTATTTTTCGAATTTTCAGTATAGCATAATATGAAAGAGGCGCTAATATAGTTAAGAATGAATGAAAAGTTCTTGGTAAATGTCAATTTAAGAGTAATCGTAACGAATTAAGGGGTGGAATAATATCGTTGCGCCAACCAAAGCTTGGCGATTACATGATTGGTATTATTAAGTGATTAGGTCATTCCTTTGTGAGGATAGCTCTTCTTGAAATTATCGGAGCTTCTCGGAAGAGTAACGATTCATGTATTCTCCTCTTTGTACCATGACGTCAAAGGACGTGAATGTAAATACTGCTGTATTTATACTATGCAGATCTTAACGTGAATACGATTCTACAGTGTGTCAGAATTGTAGGAGTGAATATTCTCCCTTGCGTAAGAGTTGCATAATTTCATTTAAAAGGAAAAAGGAAATTTGTTTGCTGGAAATTGAATTGCGTAATTAACATGGCAACGGATGCAAATGATACTAATATTCGAAGAATGTAAAAGTGTAGATATTTCCAACTGGTAAAGTATAAAATGCAGTGAATCGTTCAGACTGAAACTATCTCCATGGAAACTTTTATATGTCAAATCGATATCCATAACATTTTTTCACCTCGTTATTCTAAACGTGCAAATGCTTGATGCATAAATTTCCCATTTCATTAAATATTTAAAAAATGTGAAAGTGGTATTTCAATCTAGTGAGGTTTAAAGTGTTTTACATTCTTAAGGGTGAAATCTTATATTTCATAAGAAATTCTAAATGTTAGATAGGTATTCATTACATTCCTTCGTTATTTAAACCAGGTAAACGCTTGAAGTGTACAAATTTATTATGATTGAAGAACTCCCATTCAAAAATAAGAATTGTTATTAATGACACATATTCCATTTTTATTAATTAATACCAGGTTACTTATAATTTAATAGGATTTCAAGTTACTGAAAAGCTTCTTAGAAGGAATAGAAGTTTGTATAACATCCTTGTTAATGAATACAGAGATCTTATTCTTTAATACTTTTAAATAATTAATTATTCCTAAATAAAGCATAAATAATGTAGAAATATTAGATTAAAAAGAGGACAATAATCGCATCGTAATGAATTGGCTCTCAAAATAGTATAAAAAAAAGAGAAGAAACTGCACAACAGAATGATTTAATTATACTGACGAGTAAAAGAAACATTACTCTTCTGTATTCGACTTTTTTTTCGTCGCATAAAATTGCAAACGAAGGAGAAGCTTGTACACAATTGCGTGTGAAGAAATGTTGCTCGTTCGTGGTTGTCATCAATCAACTTACGCATCGCGTTAATGTAAATAAGATATTCGCCAGAGCTCTCGTGAATTGCGGACAATTTCCATTTAGCGAATCTGAGAACTCGGTGGGCAAAATAAAATAAGGGGAACGATGGCAAAAACTGATGAGCAGTAAAAGAAGAGAATGCAGAACTGCCCATAATATTAGACAGGCAAGATGAGAAGAACGATAAACGAAAAAAGATGACGTGCAATAGAAAGTGTCAGAGAATAGAAAGAAGCTATTACGCATGACTTACGACATACCTTCAGAATACGTATGCATTATGACTTATATATAGCTTATAGGTACACCTTCTGGTCTCCCTTCAGAGATATCCCTTCCTCACAATTCACTATTTGAAGATATGATGCACATCCATTTTTTATATGCAGTTATTAATAACTAGACAGTGCGACTTAAATTTAAGCTTCATTTCGAATAACCTTTACTTTGGTATCGGTTGAATTGGGAATTATTGCATGAATTAATTTTAAAATGCAATATAAATGTTACTCTCTCGCTGTAGGTTAAGGTTACATTATTATTATTGAAACAAAAATTAATACTAAAGGTTTTTTTAAAAAATTTGTTAATAAAAATTAAATTAAAAATTAAATTGAATTAAATTAATTTCGAAGATTTAAATATTTGCTTTTAGGAAACACTCTTCTTTCTCAAATATTTATAAGCTATTGAGTTTAGAATTTAGAGTTTAGAGTTAGACCGAATATGATTAAATTGTTAAAAAAACATAAATAAAATTTCACGCTCCTCGTTACTACGCTCTTTTACTACATTTTTACACAAACAACGTTAAATTAAAAGCTATACACCCATTGGTCGAAAACGTCGTTCGAAATTTGAATTAAATTTTTAATCAAATATTATTTACAATTTCAATACATTTTCAAAGGAACAGACAAAGGGTACAATTCCATTAAAAGATACAGTTTTTCTCATAGTGCCGCGTACTCATACGAACAGGGAATTAGAACGTAAAAGCGGCTCGAATCAATTAAAGAGAAAAATGTTCGCGTAAACGAATTTGGAATGCTCCCTAAAATCGACGCGCTCGCAATTTGCCGAATTAAATTGGATTTTTTTTTCTGGGAAAGGGAATCGCGGAAATGCCTACCTGTACACTGTTGAATATTTTCAGACTGGCCTCCGGCATTTTGTTGGCTACGTCCCCGGCCTTCTCTCCCTCCTTTCCACCCATGGATATTTTAATTATCCTCGGTTATCTGTTTTTTAATTGTATATTTCGTTAAATCCCGGCGTCTCGTTCGCCAGCGATCGACGTGGTGGGGTGGACGTGTCGAGCGGAAGTGCTCATTCTTCTTCCGGTCTCTCATTGTTGCGATCAAGCGCCGATAGTCGATCCCTTAAGTCGATTCGAATGTTTCGACTCGTGTCTCACTGGTACACCGAACAGTTTCAGGTTCTTCAATCACGGAATATTTGTCACCACATTTTTCATATTTTATGAACACTGAACACGAGATATTTCACTGTTGTACTTTG